ACGAAGTACCGGCCTCACACGAGTCCCTGGTCAGCGGCTGGTGAGTCCTCTGTGTCCAGCCATCACACCCGCACCACACTGGAGCGCGCTTGCTTAGGTCAGGCAGGCCCACCCCTGCCCAGGCGATGCCAATATCTGCCGTCCCACAGACGCTGTCAGTATCTCGGGGTCAATGGTACCGAAGCAGTGCTGAGCTGTGAGGGCAGTGAGGGCCTCTCCAGCGCAGTGACCATGAGCAGCAAGGACGGGGCTCACGGGACTGTCTAGGGCAGAGGGAAAGGCAGGTGCAAAGGCCCTGAGGCCAGGGACTGGCAAGGAGGCCACTGAGCCAGGCCACCCCACCCCCCGGGTGGAGTAGGGGAAGGCCAGGATGCTGGGATGAGGAGACCTCGCCTGGAGCCGAGGGCTGGGAGGCCCTGAGGTCTGAGTGAGCAGTGTCGCCCTGCTTCACGGTCAGTTCCTGCAGGTGAGCAGACTCAGCCGCAGAGGCTCAAAGGCGAAAGTGGGATCCAGGCTGGCCGGGTGTCACTCGTGCCACAGTGCGGCTGCCAGAACACTGGCAGGAAGAAGGAAGAATGCTCAGAAGGCCTCTGCCAGTGGCGTCCTGCATGACCTGAGCCAGACTGTGCACATTGTTGCACTCCCCTGCCAGGGAAACACAGAGACAGCACATCGATGCTGAGCAGGATGAGGAGGAAAGGGAAAGGGAGGTGGCTGTGGCTGGGCAGCCGCTTCTGCCGTCGCTGTGGGACCCGTCAGGCACGGTGTTATGGAAAGGCTGCATGAGGCAGGCACCGTTTTTACTCACAGCAAGTTCATTGGGGTTTATTTGGGCGCCTTGTGTTGGTTAGGATATGACAGACACCAAAGGGAACACTCCCATTGGGAATCTGCTGTATCCACCTCGGGGGGCAGTGTTTGTTGGTTTGTCTGTTTGCCCTCTTCCCATCCACCTGCCAGTGTCCTTTTCTTGGTAAAGGCCAAGAATCCACAGTGAACAGAGGGGGAGGAAGAGACGCCAAGGAGAAAGGTGAATCCACCCTGGGTAACTTTGTGAAACTCAGTCAATGAGTGAGAAACACCCGCCTCTCGGGTGCCAGCAGGGCTTGTGAAACAACTGCATGTAAAAGCACTGCAGGCCTCAGAGCCACTCCGTAGACAAATAGCTCACTGGTCCCTATCTTCTGTAGACAGTGAAGAGCAGTTGATTCTGACGTCCGCCGGTAGAGTCTGGTGCCCCTTTGTTGGGTCCCTGCTGTAACAAAATGATGTTTTTGATATAGAAAAATGTTCCCGTCCAGCCTGCGAGTGCGTAGGTCTTAGGGTTTTCCATTCTCACTGGACCTGATAGACACTCCCTGCCTAGTGACCTGCCTCGGTGTGGAAAGAGACACCTGAGAAATTAACCAGGATCTAGCAAGTTCTTTCCCGACCTATGAAATTCCTGCATTTCTTAGAAAAAACAAACTCCATCACTTGCCTGGCAACTGCATAAGGTTGGTTTTTGAGTGGAAATGATGAGAGAACTCTCTAGAACTTTGAAAGTGTAGTCCCTGGGGCAGCAGCAGGACCTGAGGAGTGGATAGAAATAAATGCAAGCCACAGGGCCTCAGCCCCGCCTTCCGAATCAGAGCCAGGTGTGAGCTGCAGTTTGTTCAGGACCTGCCACCCTGAGGTGCCTGGCAGAGTCCTCCCAAATGCAGAGTCACCGAGTCCCTTGCGTCCCTCTCTGTACGCAGCAGCAGTTCCTTCTCATAGGCCAGATTTTTCAGCTGGCTGAGGCCCAACTATGAAGAATGTGTGTGCACGGAGTGAAGTTCTTGCTCCCACCTGGCCCAGACTGAAGTTGCTGTCAAGATTCCTGTCAGGGAGCAACACCTTAAACAAAGGCCATCAGCCAGGGTATTGTGTTCAGATCGCTTGGTCCAGGGAAGTGTACCTCGTATGTATATGCCAGGCAGAATCACAGGACACCTTTCCCTACGAATGTCTTAAGTGGGATGAAACTTCCAACACATGCAGCAGACCAGCTTTGGAATAAGTATGCATATTACATGCAAAGTTACCATCATGCCAGGTAATCAGCTGGTGTTATTGTCACTGATAAAACACTATTAGATTTGCTTATTTACTCCTAAAAATGGACAAAGAAGATGTTTTTCAGCTAAAATGAGCAATCTACAAGATTTTCAGAGGTAGCACCAGATACAGTGTTTGTAGTGTCAGAAAGTGTATTCAGCCTTTTTCCATTATCGTTGGTGTGGTTGGCATTTGTTTTGGGATACCCAGTAGTTTGATGGTGGAAGATGCCAGAGAATAGACGCAGCATTCCTATATCCAGCAGGGGACAGATTGGGAATTTAGGAGAACCGGTTCTCCATCCCTCCTTCCCATCAGATAATCCTCTCTGCCTGCTGAAGAGCTTGGGAAGTCCTGTACCCAACACCATGCAGTGCAGAAGCCAGCCCTAGAAGGCTGCCCCCCACTGGGCTCAGACAAGCTTTGAAGAGCTCTGGAGGTCACAAAGGACTAGCTTGTCCTCCTTCCCGGAGCAAGCCGGATCGCCTGCCGTGTGATAGGCCAATCTGATAGCTGTCACTTGTTGCCATCTGATTTGTTTTGAGAGTGGGACGTCTCAGTAACTAAGTTAAGACTCCTTCAGGCCCGTCTCTCAATGTGGATCCAACCCAGGACAGGGTTATCAGGCCCGTCTCTGGGGAATTTAGAACTGAGAAAAGCTCATCCGTGTAGGGTGCCTCTCGAACTGAAGCAGTGTACATTCGAGTGCTGTGGGAAGCCTTACGCTTTGAGGAGGTGAGGAGCAGCTCTTCAGAGAGACAACAGCATAGAGGTAAGAGGGCACTGGAGTCGGGAGATGAGAAACCCCGTACCAGTTGCCTTCCCGGAAGGGACAGGTTCCATTCCGCGTGAGTCCCACCGCACTGCACAAGAACTTGACTCTCTCCCTCGGAAACCAGGCAAGTCTTCCTGTCAGTGTGTCCCTGCACCTCTTTGTCTTCCTTCACAGCCGGCGGGTTCCGTGAGCGCTGATACACATCTAGAATGGTGTAGAGGCCAGGACACTTTTGGACGGCTCTCGGCCAGGCTAGATAATACTTTCACCATGAGCTTGTGTCACTCATGTGCTTTCGGGCCGCGCACCTGGCCCTCAGTCACCCTGATCCTCTGGGAAGCATTCTAGCCGCTCTGTAACTTGCTCGGGAATGCAGAGACAGCGATGGCAGAGCCACAGCCTGCTGGCCTCACGGTGCCAGCTCAGAAGGGCGCTCGAGGACAGCTGTGCGGGACAGTGAAGAGGGGTGTGAGACATGGGGGTGAGAGGTAGGAGGGGTGAGGCCAGCACCCACTGGCCTGCATTCCAAGCATCCACAGTGATTCACTCCTCGGAGCAGTTGTTCCCGGTGCTTGGTGATTGCAGCAGAGTTGTAAGATTTGGAACACGGCCTTTCTCCAAGCAGTGTTCTGTTAGGGAGGCAGAGCCTATCCCCAGGACACAGAGGTGGTCCTGCCTCCTGCCCCTTGAGGCTGAAACCCTGGGAACTCAGGGCATCTTCCGGGAAAAGAGGGCCAGCCCCAGGGCAGCAAGTAGCCAGTTCCTAGCCCCATACCCACTTATGATGTGGGCTGTTGCCTTTTCCAGGGAGACAGGCAGTCCTGAGCTGCAAACCTGGAACTGCTCCTTGCCATCCAGGCCGTGGCTCCTGGCCAGGGCCTCAGGATGGGCTGTAGGGTCCCTGCCCAGCAAAGCCAGCCAGTCGGGTCAAGAGCTCTATTTCTGGTTGCTTTTGGAATTGGACTTGGAAGAGGACAGAACATGACGGTGAATGGTTCCCATCACTGGTTTAAGAAAATAAAGATGGCATTCACATTTTTTAGGGCCCTGTCATCACAAGCCCTTTTCTGCTGTTTCTTCGAACACTCATGACTTGGGCTCTGGAGATCAAAGCAGACAGAGCTTTTGCAGCTCTGCACCCATGCATTCCCAGAGCGTGTGTTCACACCCTGGCTCCCTGGGCACAGAGGAATCAGACCAGTGCCTGGAGTGCAGTGAAGGCAAGGCACTTGAGGCCCACAGCTCTGACTCCTTCCGGTCCTTAAATGAGGGCCTTGTTTCTCAGGAGCTGGTCGGAGTGCTGAGACAGACATACTTGGAAGCACTTTCCGTGATGTTATCTGAGCTTGCAGAATGTTTATTTCTGCCTGTCCTGTGTGATAACATACCTTCTCTTTAGTCAGTTGTTCCTTTCTCTAGTTTGGCATGTTGCTGGGTAGTAAAAGATCTGTTTTCTGTTCTCAGGCAAACCAGATGCTTGGTACTTTCCCTGGTTGTTCAGGTTGAAGGAACCTCAGAAAGGGCGGGAATATGTCGTAACCGTCACAGGCAGCAGCACCAGAGGATGTGCAAAAGCCCTCTTGGGAGAGTGACGTTGAATTCCGTGCCCTGCACTCCGAGTTCAGTGAGCTCTTTCTGGTGGATATCGGCAGCTTCCTGCTGTGCAAATGGCTGCAGACCTGGAGGGCTTTTAACGTAGGTGGAGGCTGAGTCCCCGAGAGTCCACTGAGCGCCAGAGACAAGCTGTGACTGCAGTGCCCAGACAGGCGCTGACATATCCCTCGGCAGGGAGGGGCCTCCCAGGCTGGAGACACAGAAAATGGTAAAGCAGCAGTTGGGAGGGAGTCCTCAAGAAGCCCTGGCCTCCAGCTTCCCAGCACGTTTGTGGAATTCTCCTTTGCTAAGAAAGTTTGCTGGCTTTCCTTTTCCCTTCTTGATACAGAAAGCCCCCAGTTAGGGGTGACTGGCTTGGCTCTTTCTGCAACAGTGAGTTTCTCTGCTGGTCGTAGGAGACACAGGCTGCTGAGTGTTGCGGACGTGGGGCAAGCGGAAGTGGACTGCGTTATGCTGGGGGGTCTGCACCCAGGAGGGGCCCGTGGGCGCACGGTGAGAGCGGGGGGCAAGTCTCTGTGTGCTTTGTCCTCAGGTACACCAGTACTACAGCTGCCTCCCTGAAGAGAAGGTCCCTTATGTCAACAGCCCTGGAGAGAAACTGCGAATCAAGCAGCTCCTCCACCAGCTGCCGCCGCACGACAATGAGGTGAGACCGGCCTGGAGGGGCTTGGAAGCCAGGAACTCTGTGCCTTGTGCTCTCTGTCACACTCAGAGAGCTGTGATCAGCGGAACTGCTGAAGCAAACCTCTGGCAATTTCTTTCAGGCTTTTAGCTTCCTTAATTTAGAGCCAAAAGAAACAGACCAGTGTGGCCAAAACCCAGAGTCTCGTTACAGGCTGGGTGAGCCTCACGCCTGGCGCGGTATCCAGGGAGCGAGTGCCACAAGCTAAAAACTCAGGCCCGATTTCTGACTTGGGGAAGGATGTGCCCTGCTGCTTGCCTGTGTGTGCTGGAGACATGATTGGGGTCCCCTGGGCCATTGCAAGCCCTGAATAAACTTCGTGAGCCACAAGTTTTCAGCATCATCTTGTATTGAGGGAGTGTGCGAGTTCTCCACATTACGCTGAGGAAAAGTTGTATGGCCGTATTCTCTGGGCTGCACATGTGTGGTTTCTGGCAGTGAGGTCTACCTGCTAGGGCCTGGGCCTTTGAAAGCATGGCTATGGACCATTCTCCTGGTGAGCCCAGGAGCAGTACTCTAAGCAGGCATTCCTTCTCGAAATCGCATTGGTCATAAAGAGAAAGTTGTAAACATCTTTTAAAAGAGCATGCTGAAAAGGATTAGGTTTGCAACTTGGAAATTAATTTTTAGGTATCTGGTTTTTAAAAATTATGAATTCTGTTGAATCGTGTGCTTAACTCTGACTGCATTTGAAACAAAAGTATGATTTTAAATTGAAAGGAAAAGGAGCCCTTCGGAGAGCTGCACCAATTTGCACCAGTCCCCAGCGTGTCTCTCCACATTCCAATGGGTGGAGGTCATCAGAGCCTCGGAAATCAGTTTGAGGGCTGGAGATGCAGCTCAGCGGTAGAAGGCTTGCCTGGTGTGCAGCAGGTCCTCATTTCAGTCCTGAGCACCCCAAATAAGTGAACAAATGAATGTATAGTGAGCAGGACAGACGCTTAAAAACTGGAGCAACTCTCCAGGAGGACAGCTCTGATTCTCCTTACATGCTGCTTAGGCTTTATAAAACATATAAATAACGTGTTCTCCTTTCAAGCTGGGAGCAAACATCGTAACCTGATGCCCGGTTTAACTAATTTGGAAATGAAGATGCGGGTTTTTACAGGCAGGAGAGGTGTGCCTTGCTTTAAGGGCATGTGCATACAATCTCAGTGGTGGGACCACGTGTCCTGGCCTTGAGGTCACTGCCGTTCTCTCTGACATGTTCTTAGGATGACTTGAGGGTGGGGTGTGATCTGCTCTCCTCTGCCTCTAGTGGCTTTTTTGTGTGTGGTTAACAGTGCTTTTTGTGGAAAGAGACACCATTCAGATTCCACTTCCTGTTGGTAGGGATGCAGTAGTGGGGCCCCGTGTGCGGAAAACAAATGGTGATTCTCAAGTCAGAATTTGATCGCCCAGGTAAGGTGCTTTTATAAGTCACAGCTGTACAGTTTCCAGTTAGAGTAGAACACTCCTAACTGGAAGGTGTTCCTCTCACCACCTTTGTGACAAATCACCAGAATGAAACAGAGAACCCTTTCTGATGTCCAGATGGCTCCAGAATGAGGTGGCAGGTGGGTTCAGGACCATATTTCCCAAAGGACAGCGTGTACATGGCCTGGGGTGGGATGTGGACACAGCAGTAAATAAAACCGAGCCTGGAGGGAGAGCGTCACTCCCTTCACATGATGAGATGGTTGGATACAGGGAAGAAATTTCACTTAGTCCTTGCAGGTATCTCACACCTCTCTGCCTCTCTCCAGTCTCCGGTTTTCAGTAGGAGCATCAGGGATCTCAAGTTTAGGATCTCCTGCAAGCAAAGTAGCCACCTGGAGTCTTAACAGTGTGGTTGTCACATCTGCTTTTATGGTCACCCTGGTTTTTGCAATCAGTTGACTTTCTATTTGTAGTCATAATATACTTTGGATAAATCTATTCAAGTTTTTTAAAGTAAGTCACTTTTAAATCTAGAATTAGTAAATAATAGTTCATGCATGTGGTGCAACTTCCAAAGTGTGTAGAAATAAGGGGAGAGAATGGCAAATATTGGATTTGAATGTCTGTGATGTCCCTGCCTTTGCTCTGCGAGTTTCTGGGTTTAGCAAGAAGGAAAACACTTTTGCATGTTGCCACCCTTACTGAAGCTCAGCAGGCAAGTCCGTACCCTGAGGCCTCCAGTGCACTCCTGCAGCATCGAGCCTCTGTGTCCCTCTTCCCTAGTGAGGTGGAGCACACCGACCATGGTCCTAGTCGCTGGCCGGGTACCATCTTTGGTGAAGGGATCATCTGCATGGCACATGTAGCCGAAGGCATCAGGTCCTTCCAGTTTGGTGGGAGTGAACTTTACCAGCATCAAGCCCTTCCCCTGATCTGACTCTGAGTGTGGTGAGCAGGGTCAGGGGCCAGCGTGCAGAGCAGCTGCAGAACCCACAGCCTCCCCAGCCCAGGGCTTGGGCTCCAGGGTTCAGACCCTCTAATAAGTTCCTTTGGTTGTCACCAGTCTCGGTAGAGGCTCCCCTCAAGCAGCACCAACCTGGGCCCGCTAAAGCTCGGGCAGTGTCTGTCCCAGCAGTGGAAGTAAGTGAGGAAACTGAGGCTGAGCTTCCAGGACCTCGGAGCAAGAGCGACCCATCTGCACTGTGCTTTGTCCACTCAGGTCCGATACTGCAACTCCCTGGATGAGGAGGAGAAGAGGGAGCTGAAGCTGTTCAGCAACCAGCGGAAACGTGAGAACCTGGGCCGAGGGAATGTCAGGCCCTTCCCCGTCACCATGACCGGCGCTATCTGCGAGCAGGTGAGCGAGTGTCCCTGGGGGAGCGGCGTCACTCTGGTGCCTTTCCCTGGCCTTTTCATTCCGGGTGATGTTCGGTTACCACCCTGTGCCCGGCATCTCTCTAGGCCGCGGCAATGTAACAGTGAGCAAGACAGGAGAGCTCGGCCTTGCCCTTGTGAGGGGTTATGCGCTAGGGGAAGAAATCGGACAGTAAGGGGGATCTGCAAAGTAGGAAAAACACAGCGGGGAGGGCCTGGAAAGACCCACTGGGCAGATGGCACCTGAGCAGACTCCAGAGGTGTCCCGGGAGGGGGGCGCAGACCTCAGGGCAGAGGGGCACCAGGTGTGGAGGCCCTGGCCGCTGTGCTCCGGGAGCAGTGAGGCCCGAGTGCTGGGCAGAGGGACTGGGCTTGCCCCTGACAGATGCAGTCAGTCTGTGGGGGCGACACAGGCCGCTGGAGGCCCTGGCGGAGCAGCACCGTGACAGACTCACATCGCAAAGCGAGGGCTGTCGTCGGAGAAGGCGTTTGTCTGGCCCAGGCCAGCCTCTCCTCCGGGCCTTCCCAGGACTGAGGGTGCCCTCAGAGGGGCATTGGCCTTCTGCTAGGTCTGTGAGTTCTGTGTCCGAGTGCAAGGCGCTCTCTGCCTTCTCCCGGGATCTCCCTGAGTGGAAGGGGGGGAATCTGGCTTTTCTCCTGCCCCTGCGGTGCTCAGGGCCTGGTGGAGGAGGTTTTTAAAGAGAAGGAGGCAAGAAGCCTCTTAGGAAGCCGCTCTGCTCGCCGTGCCGTGCAGGGGGTGGTTCCTGGCCCTCACCGAGAGCTGCTGGAGGGCCTCCACCCTCGAGAGGCAGCGGTGAGACTGGCCTTGAGGGGCAGGCGCTCGGGGCTGAGGCTGTGAGAACCCGAGCTCCGTCAGGGACTGCGGCAGCCCGGCCCAGACTCCGGAGAGTGGGGGAGGCCGCGTTCCCGGTGTTTTGTCCTCTCACGACGGCGACGACAGGCCGTGTGCAGGAGCAGGGAGGGCTGAGTGGGTCCTCGGAGTTGCCAGGCCACGCGGGAGCAGCTGCCGTGACACGGCGTCCCTCTCCCCTGGCCACACCTCCGAGCTCCCGCAGACTCTACAGGCCGCGGCCTCCTGCCTCCCTCCAGTGGCCCCGCCCGTGGTGTGGGAACACCTTGGAGCGGCTCCCTGCTCTCCAGATGCCCCGAGCGCACGCGTGCTTCCGAGGCTCCCGCGGGGCTCAGGCTGGGGAGCTGCGGAGATCGATCGGGACGACAGAGCCTCCCGCCTCATCCCTGCCTGCCGGGCCCTCGCGTGCTCGCCCCAGCCCTGCTTCCGCGGTCCCCCAGGACCCTGCCTTCCCCTTTCCGGGCAGTGCGGGCCCTCGGGAAGAGGGCAGGAAGGTGCGAACGGGGCTGAGGAACTGTCCCCACTCTGGCCTCAGAGCAGCGCCCTCCAGGAGAGACTGCTCGGGAGCGGGACAGAAGGCGGAGCGGCCTGCAGGGCACGGAGAGGGGTGGGAGCTGAGCTGAGCTGAGCTGAGCTGAGCGGCAGGTGTCTGCAGGCCGCTGGCGCCCTCCTGCCTCCCGGCCTCCTCCGCCCGCTGTCGAAGGCCTGGGGCGTGACCGGCCTGAAGGGCCCAGCACGGTATTGTGCCGCAAGGGGTTTCCTTTCTTCCCCACCTTGGCAAGCCCTGGGTCTCTCTACATCTTCGGAGCCTAGGAGAGGGGAACCCACCCTGCTGCATCGCATCGTAAGGCAGGGACAGTCCCGAAAACACCCCAAGTAGCGGGCTGCTGGTGCGGCTTGTCATTAGGGCAGCACGGGACAGCGGGCCGGGTTGCAGATGTTTCTGTCTGCCTTGCAGTGCGGAGGCCAGATTAACGGCGGGGACATCGCTGTGTTCGCATCTCGCGCTGGCCACGGTGTCTGCTGGCACCCGCCCTGCTTCATATGCACCGTCTGCAGTGAGCTCCTGGTGGATCTGATCTACTTCTACCAAGATGGGAAGATCTACTGTGGACGGCACCACGCCGAGTGCCTGAAGCCGCGCTGTGCCGCCTGCGACGAGGTCAGAGCTCCCCCCTCTCGGTTCGCTGCCGCGCCCTCCGCTGGCCGGAGCCCCACTGTGCACGGTGCTCCGCGGCCCCTTGCACGGGAGGCACCCTAGGCCGGCCGCCTTAGGCCCTCTCCAGAGGGGTGGAGCCCCTGCCCCGCCAGCTGGGAGGCCAAGGAGATGCCCGGCTTGGCTTCATACAGCGGGCACTGGGTCCAGTCAGAACTCTTACATTCTTATTTTAGAAAAGGGGGAGGCTTGGGCAATTTTAGGCAGATGTCATTCCAAGCCCCGGGGAGCAATCATTGGGAGTGGGGTGCTGCTGGTCCAGGGCTTGACGGACAGGCGAGTTAGAGAAGTGGGCGGCGTATTTTATTTTCCCCAGTGTTTACAGAAGTTCTGAATGCGGGAGGCAGACAGATTCTCGCAGATGCTCTGCCCCCTGCTGGGGAGGGTGGTCCTGAATGTGCTGCACCAGCCGAGAAATCAGGACAGCGACCCCACAGCGAGTCCCAGGCTGCCTGTGAGCAACAGCATCAGGGTGCTGGCTCAGCTTTGACAGTTGGAGCAAAAAGAAGAAGGCTCTGGACTACCAGCTCCACGGGAATCGTTCGTACTTCCACAGCTGCTGATAAAGATGTTAAACATCTTTACTGTCTGCCTATGTTTTCTCTTTGGAGAAATATCCACTTAAACCTTTTGAAGGCTTTAGACATGGGGCTCCTTCTTCCCAGAGGAGGGTCTGGGTCCACGCGACCCTCTAGAAGCAGCAGTGTGGGTGGGTGGCTAACACTCCCTTGCCCAGCCAGAGCCCACTGTGATGTGGGAAGCTCTCTTACCAGCTTCCTGCAGGGGAGCCCCTCTTCTAGGAAGGGCCTGTTCGCACTCAGCTGACTTGGGTTCTAGTGGCCACCACCACATGCTACAGAGGCTCTGCAGAGGGAGTGGAAGGCTGATTCAGGTCCCCCTCTGTGAGCCTGAGTAGCCGCTCGACCCTCGTGCCTCAGTTTCCCAGCTGGAAACGAGTGCTCACGGTACAGCTTTATGTTCTTCATGGGCAAAGAGAGTGTGGTAACTGAAGGCATGCACCTTGAAGGTTTCCCCTCCTGAGACAGACCTGGCCTAGCATTAGGAGTCACCCGCTTAAGATGAGCAGTTCACTGGGCTGTAGTGTCTTCATACAGTTGTGCAGCCGTCGGGCCTGTTTGATTCCAGACCACTCTCACGGGCCAGAGGGAAAGTCTGGGTCTTTTCGAAGTCGCTGTCCTCCACCTTCTCCTCCTCCTCCCAGTCTGAACAGCCCTGCTCTGTCCCCTGGCTCTGTGGATTTGTATATGGCAGACATTTCACCTTCATGAAATCCTGCAATCATGTGGCCTTCTGTCTCTGAGGTCTTTCGCTTAGTATGTTTCAAAGTTCATCAGAGTTGTAGTATGTACAGTGCTTTGTTCTTTTTCATGACTAACAGCCAATTATATGTGTGTATCATGTTTTGTTCAACCATTTAGCAATTAATAGACATTTTTGTTTCTAATTTTTAGCTATTATAAACAATGTTGCTTATGAACACTCACTTACAAGTTTTGTGTATCCATACATTTTTCTCTTGAGTATATATCCAGGAGTGAAATGACTGGGTCATATGGTAAGTCTAGATTTAACTTTTTGAGAGAATGCCACACTGTCTCCTAAAATAGCTACACCATTTTGCATTCATGCTATCAGTGCATGAGCCTTCTGATCGCTCCACATTCTTGTTAGCACTTTAATTGTGCATATTTTTATTATAGTCATGCTAGTATGTACGAAGAAGTATTATACTGACATTTTGATTCATACTTCCGTAACTGCTGATAATGTTAAGCATCTTCTGTCTGTCTGTGTTTTCTCTCTTTTGGAGAAATATCTACTTACACCTTTTGTCCATTTTTTCAGTTGTGTTATTTTTCTCTTTACTACTGAGTTGAGTTCTTTATGTGGTATGGATAGTAGTCTCTTATCAGATATATGATTTGCAAATATGTTCTCCCATTTTCTGTTTGTATTTTCACTTTCTTAATGATGTCCTTTGAAGCATGAAAGTTTTTAGTTTTAATGGAATCTACTTTTTTTGTTTATTCTATTTTTAGTGTCATATCTAAAAAACCATTGCCTGGTCCATGGTCAAGAAGATTTCTGCCTATGTTTTCTTCTTAGTGCTTTATCACTCTTGGCCATCGCATGTAGGCCTTTAATCCCCTTTCAGTTAGTTTCTATATACGGTTGGAAGTAGAGGTTCAAAGTGATTATTTGATATGCAGCTGTCCAGTTGTTCCGGGCCATTTGTTGTAGAGACTGTGCTGGCCTCATGGACTGGTCTTGGCCTCCCCTCTGGCAGTCAGCTGACCATATCTGTGTGGATTTGTTCCCAGACTCTCAATCTGTCCCATCCCTCGGAGTGTTCATCCTTGTGCCAGCCCCATGCTGGCTTGGTTACTGCAGCTGGGTAGTACATTTTGCTATCTGTGCTTTGAAATTTAAAACAACTCTGTACTGGGGTCAAAGACACTGATGCCTCGGGGGCCAGAAAGGAGCTCCAGAGGCTGTCGTCCCATTCCAAGTCAGCAGGGAGGGTGCAGCGCGTGGCACATTGAGCAGCGTGGTGCTGGTCTGGAAGCAGCAGCCCTCCTCCTGCCTCTTATTCACTAGTGCCGAGCAGGAATGTGTCGTGAGTGTCGCCCAGAGCCATGTTTCAGGGAGGAACCAGGGTTCCAGGTGTCTGTGGCATTTCCCAATGTACAAAATGCTATGCGTGTCCAGTGAGCCTGTGAGCTCTGTCCTGCATCCCATGCTGCACTCCTGGAGGCAGAGCATTCTTTGTCTGGTTAGTAGTCGCTGCTCAGGCCCCGGACCATGTTTAATGCATATCCAAGTGTGGGGGTTGCTGTAGATACAGAATAAACACACTCGTACAAATAGATCTTTTGTTAGCCATTCGTGGGCGAGACCTGCTTTCTGCCTTCCACTTTGGGGCCCCTAGCTGGCCTCCTCTGAAGTGGGTTCCTAGGGCTGGGCCTCAGACACTGACTGTTCGGCTTCCCCTTCTCCAGATCATCTTCGCTGACGAATGCACAGAAGCTGAGGGGCGGCACTGGCACATGAAACATTTCTGCTGCTTCGAGTGTGAGACAGTGCTGGGTGGCCAGCGCTACATCATGAAGGAAGGAAGGCCCTACTGCTGCCACTGCTTCGAGTCCTTGTATGCAGAGTATTGCGACACCTGTGCCCAGCACATAGGTGAGGCACTGCCGGCACTCAGCCCGGGTCTCCGGGGCGGCACCCCTTGTGCCTGCCGCAGGTAGAGTCCCTTTGGTTGCCAGTCCCAGGAGCCCAACTCATCGGGTAGAATCGGGCATTTCCCGACCCACATTACAGAAAGAGCAGGGAGAGTGCTGCCTTCAGGTAGGGCTGGATCAGACGTTCAGACAAAGTCTGGAACTTTCTGTGTCAGCTCTGCCTGCTTTTCGTGGTCCTCGCTTGGGGGCAAGCTGTCTTCACAGGGTAGCCAAGGTGAGTCCCGAGTTATAGTCATAAGCAAGGGGCACCGTGTCACTTTTAATTCCAAGTCACTTCCTCCACATCCGAATCCTGGCATCCCCACCTCAGTCAAGGGTCTGCCTGCAAGGTGGAGCTGTGTGCTGCATGATTCCACCACCAGAGAAGCGGGTAGGGCTCGGAGGGAGAAGGTCAAGGGGAAAGACAAACTGGTGGCTTCCACATCCTCCTCGGGAAAAGACCAGAGACCAGCAGAGGGAGAAGCTGAAGTGGACCTCTTGGTAGGGACAGGTAGTCAAGAAACCAAATGGCTTTGGCAAGCATGACTTCTTTTAAAAAAATCAGCACAGCTAAGCCAGCCAAATACATGAAGCAAGAGATCCCTCAATAGCTCATAAGATATAAACTCCCCAGTAAGCACCCCTCACCCTGGTATGCTGTCCGTCTCAGCCCGAGGTTTCAGCCAAGTGCCCGGGAACCTTCCTTTCTCGGGGCTCAAAACAGTCACACACACACTGAGTCTGGGGCTTGCCTTACAAGTCAGGGAGCGGGGCTGGATGGGGAGGTGGGGCCGCATCAGGGACACCGACATGTCGACCCCGTGAGGCCAGCTCCAGAATCTGGGTCTGCACTGAGGGCTTGCTCAGTGAGCAGCTGGGCACTGGAGACTGAAGCCACAGTGGCAGCACCTGTCCCCGAGTCCTGTGTGTCTCCATGAAGCCTCGGCACCTCTCAGAAACTGCGTCTTAGAATTTTTGCCTGGCAGCTTGAAGGAGACAAAACCTGCTTGACACTAGGTCACGGGCACCCCACGGGGCCCCTCTGCTTCCTCTTTCTCTCTTCTTTCAGTTTTCCAGCTATTCATTGGCTTCCCTTCTCCTCTCTTTCCTCTTACATCCGTAGAAGGCATCGGTGTTTTACCGGAAAAGGGAACCACTACAGCCTGTAATGTGCTTGATGCTATAGTAAAATTGCTATTCCTGATGCTTTCTTTTATTAGTTGTAGTTTTAGTATTATTTGGTGCTAGACATTGAACCCAGGGCCTTTGCACTGAGCTACACCCCTGGCACTTTTTTTTATTTGTTTTTTTCATTTTGAGATGAGGTCTTGCTAAATAGCCCAGTCAGTTTAAGCTTAAACTTGTAACACTCCTGCTTCAGCCTCCTGGAGTGCTAGGATTACAGGCCCTGAGGCTTCTTTTTAAAGCCTCTTTTCTTTTTTTTTTTGGTACAGAACCAGGATCAAACTCAGGACCTTGCGCTTGCCAGGTAGCCACAGCACCACTGAGCTACATCCCTGGCCTTTTAAAGTCCCTTTTCTGTAAAACGTAATTTCCCCGCCACAGCAAGTCTGCGCTATGTCGTGCATACCTTTGTCGCTGGCTGCTGTGCCTCTGGCCATACTGTACAAACATTCCATATTTATCCAGCCATGCTGAGTGGGCCCTGCATCAGGCCACCGTTGCTATGGCAACAGGACTTTGCCTGTGAGGAGCAGAGTAAACAGTCCTATGAACAGATGGAGGCTGTGGCTGCAGTGGACACACACACCCTCAGAGAAGTGATTAAAGGCTAGGGCGAGAATGAGAAAGGAATGCTCAGATGTTGCAGGGCAGAGCCCTTTTCCAGATGTTTAAGTTCAGGAGCAGTTCAGAGGACCATCTGACGTGTCACTGATGTTTATCAGGGACCCCGCTGGCTGCCTGGTGGGCTGCTTTGTAAGGCGCCTGCCCTCTGTCCTCCCTGAGGCCCCTGCTGCTACATGGGACTGCTCCTCCTCTTCTTCCTCCCCCTCCTCCTCCTCCTCCTCCAAGAAATGCCCAGCAGCTGCTGGTGGAGGCCAGGCCTGGGCCCCGATTTCGCACAAGCACAGAGCGAAAGAGACCCAAGGCAGCCAGGGGTGCCAGTGTGAGTGCTCAGGACTCTGGGCACAGAAGAGGGGATACAGAGGGCAGGGCAGGCTGTGTAGCCTGGGGCTGGGCGCCAGCTGCATCTCCACAGGGAACCCCCAGCCCAGGCCACAGAGACAGGCGGCTTGCCCAGGGTGCACAGCTGGGAGGCCCAGCAGATGGAAGTGGGTGGGAGAGGGTTTGAACCTACGTTTGCTAGTGCTGAAGCCTTCTCAGCTAGTGCAGAACTGTGTGTCCAGCCCCAGGGCTGCCATGGGCCAAGAGAGGAAGTGAGTCAGAGCTGAGACGGCTCTGCTCCGAGCCCCGCCCCGCCGGGCGTCCTCTCTGCTGCTGTAGGGTGGGGTCCATTCACGCAGTGCTGTCTTCTTTGCAGTGGCCATTGAGGCCCCTCCCACCTCCATAAGTCCCCCAATCCCTTAGGGCCGGGCTCCCAGGTAAAGAGAGACCCCCCCGCTGGGGAAGGGCCCTGCCTGTCTGTCAGTGGGAGAGGAAGGGGCTGCTTTGGTTGCACCCCAAGCTTGCCTTCTGTCCCTCGCAGAGTCCTGCTCTCGGGCTCTAGACCAGCCTGCGAGCAGGACCCCTGGTGCCCCTAGAGGTGGAGGCCGTGGTGCTGCCTCCCAGGAGGACTCGTGCCTTCGCCCAGGCCCCTTTCCACCTGCAGGTTTTGGAGGCCGACCGGCTTTTCATGGGCTGCCCCCGGTAGGGGACGTGCAGACTCCCTTGGGACGCTAATCCCTCTCGTGCTGCACAATATCTTAGTAGTTCCGTGCATGGAGCAGGTTTTCTGTCTGTGGTGTCATGATGACTCTCAAGGGCTTTGAATTTCTGAGCGTTATTTTTATTCCAGAGTTTTGCAGGAGGGATGCTCAACCCATGTTGCTCTTTGTTTGGGGAAACATGTCTCGGTGGAATTCTTAGGTAGGCCACTTGAACTAGGTTCTGTGCTCGAAGCGGGAGAGTTAGGAAGGTGCTCGCTGGCAGAATGTGTTGCGCAGGGCACAGATGCTGAGCCTGACCGCTGACCACTGAGCGTCAGCGAGCTACCCCTCGTCCTGAGCCCGCCAGCAGAGTGATGCTCAGAGCGGCCCTCAGCCTCTCCTTTGCCTTGCCCCTCCAGGGATCGACCAGGGTCAGATGACCTACGACGGCCAACACTGGCACGCCACTGAGACCTGTTTCTGCTGTGCTCACTGCAAGAAGTCCCTCCTGGGCCGGCCGTTCCTCCCGAAGCAGGGCCAGATATTTTGCTCCCGAGCCTGCAGTGCCGGTGAGGACCCCAATGGCTCCGACTCCTCCGATTCGGCCTTCCAGAATGCCAGAGCCAAGGAGTCCCGACGCAGCGCCAAGATCGGCAAGAACAAGAGCAAGACAGAGGAGGCCGTGCTGAGCCAGCACGGCCAGCTGCAGGCAAGCTCGGTCCGGCTGTCGGCCGACGTAGACCCCCTGTCCCTACAGATGGACCTGCTCAGCCTGTCCAGCCAGACACCCAGCCTCAACCGGGACCCTATCTGGCGGGGCCGGGACGAGCCCTACCACTACGGGAACAAGATGGAGCAGGGCCAGGCCCAGAGCCCTCTGCAGCTGCTCAGCCAGTGCAGCATGAGGACTTCCTACAGCCCAGGGGCGCAGGGCGCGGGAGCCCAGCCCGACGTGTGGCCCCAGCATTTCAGCAACCCCAAGAGGGGCTCGGCGCTGGCCATGAAGGGGCACGGTGGCAGCTTCCTCAAGGAGTGCCGTGAGGACTACTACGGTGCGCGGCTGCGGTCCCAGGAGAGCTACAGCGACATGTCCAGCCAGGGCTTCGGCGAGGCCCGGGGTGGCATCCAGGTGCCCCAGTACGAGGAGACGGAGGACGGCGGGGGTGCGGCCACCCAGCAGTGCCGGCCGCGCCACCCACTCGGCGCCCTGCAGTACACGGAGGACAGGACGCCCGCGGAGCAGACCCCTCGGGGCTCCATGGACTCGCTGGCCCTGTCCAACACAACAGGTAGGCCCGGGCCATGGTGCGGGCCCTCGGGATCCAGAGTGGCTTCTGGCTTTGTCGGGATGCGGCAGCCGGCTCAGTCTGGATGTCCCTGCATCTGAGGAGAGTGGGAGAGAAGCCAGGCAGGGCTGGAGAGGAGCCCGGGAGGCGAGGTGTCCCCTCGGGAGGCCACCCTCAGCCTGCACCGGCTCTGGGCTGCTGGAGGGATGGGAGGCAGGCTGAGGGCGGGGCTGGCGAGGCGGGGAGCCGCATGCGGGTGAGGACAGAGACCCGTAGACGGAGGGGCAGTGGCCCAGGAGGAGCGAGTGGGGAGACTCTCACCTCATGAGGACCAGGCGTCGCCCACGAGCAATGCAGCCCTCGAGGTGGAGCGGCACAGCCCCTTGGCCTCCACGGCTGCGACACCAGCCCTTGTCCTGCCACCGGGGCAGACTGCAGTGTCTCAGCTCACCCGCTCAGGGTTTCGCGGTGTGCACTGTGCCATTAGGGTCCACGGTGGGTTCGGCTACGAGGTCCCTGGCGTCTGCCCTCTGCAGGCAGCAGCAGGCACCCATCAGAGGGGTCAGATGGAGACGGCCAAAGGGGAGGGCCGCTGCTCAGTGCCAGCCACCTGCTGCAGTGTGCAGAGGTGTCTGTCCATCAGCTGCCTCTTACCCAGCTCTTACGTGAGCCAGACGCTGTCCTGGGCACTTTACAGACAGCAGCTAGCAAAGTTAACTGTCATGACACCAAGTGGGGTATATCGTTCCCCTCCCCTTCTGCACTGAGGAAACCGAGGAACAGAGGGGAGGGACTCGCCCAGAGCCCCAGCTTCGAAGTGCTGGTAGGGATTTGGGCCTGCTGTGGCCTCTGGAGTCACGCCCTTGATCGTGCCAGGCTGCCCGCCCAGCCAGAGCCCCATCTTGTCAGCCTTCAGGTCTGCGGAGCACTTAAAACCATGGGCTATTTTTAGAGTCCAACCTACTCTGGGTTGGACAAGCAGAACGTGTCTCTGGGTTGCAGGATGTCTATACGGGCATTTTACCTTTCCTCTCCCTCACGTGCTTTCTCATCTGCATTGCTGTCTGTCCCAAGGACAAAAGGCAAATCCCCTCACCTCTGCATTCAGGTGGAAAAGAAGAAGGGATGAAAGGGATGGGGCTTGGTGCCTGGGCACCTTCCCTGACGCCGCAGGAGGGAGCAGGTGGTGTGCAGTGGTCACTGCCAGGCTCCTCTCCGGGCCGTGTCAGTCTCGGAAGGTTTGTGTGCTCTAATTGTTTCACAAGCCATCACGTAATATGTACTTCAGCCTCTGAAGCAGGGTTTCACAGAGCTAGAGGACCTGCATTCCAATCCTCTCACCAGGGTGCTTGATTAACACCTAGACTGGGCTCCTCTCCAGGCTCCCAGCAGCAGCCTGGGAACCTGCATTTGAGCAGCTCCCCGCTGGTGCAGATGTGCACCCTGCCTGAGAACAGATGCTCCCAGGCTTGTCTGCTGCAGCACTGTCCCCTCGGGGAGTCTGCAGGGGCCGGGCTTGGGGACCACTGGGCAGGCCACGTGAGGAGAGCACACCGTCGCTACTGCCCAGGAAGAGGCGTGTGCGATGCTGCTCCTCATGGCTCTCTGTGGATCCGTGGGCAAAGCACCTAATGCCCCTTCATCTCAGGTCTTTGCCAAGCTACCCTGAACCCGGACTGATAAAATCCCAGGAAAAGATTCCTGAGATTAGCAGTGTCCAGTGTGGTAGCTACTACCACATACAGCTATTGAGTTAAATGGATGAAAACTGAGTGAGATGAACACTGAAGGCCATCGGTTGTACTAACACACTTCAGGTGCTCAGCAGCAGTGGGCTGATGTGTAAGCTTCATTTTGTTTTCATTCATTTAAATTCCGTTAGCCACGTGCAGCGATGCCAGCCCTGTTGGGCGGTTCCTGTGCCCACAGTGAGTCAGTCGAGGGCACCGTCCGAATGCGCCCTCGTCTCTCTGTTCTCACCCAGGCCCTGGCTTTCTGGTTAGTGATTGGGAACACTGGTTCGGGAGTTACAGGCCCTGAATTCAAATCAAATCTACTCTTCATCCGTTAGGAGTCGTGTGGCCTTCCACAGCTTCTTAAACCCTGAAAGACTCAGGCCCCTTGTGTGTGGAATGGATGACGGATACTTCCTGTGTAGGAATTCTGTGGTGGTTAAATGCTCAGTGTGCTTAGATCTGTACAGAGTCCTCTGGCACTCTCAGCCTTCCATGATGGGCACCTGCTACACTTCATCACTCCCTCTGCTCCTGCGTATGCTGCGCCACAGATCCGGCCGCTGACGCCTCCCTATGTCCACCAGCTTTGCAAGTTTAAAGATGCTCCTGAGGCTCCTCTTTCCCAACCCTCACAAGAAAAGGAGAAGCAGAGAATTACAGAAATCAGCTTTGTGCCGGGTGTGCTGGCGCAGGCCTGTGCTCCCAGGACTTCAGAGGCTGAGGCAGGAGAGGCATGGAGAATTCAGCCAGCCTGGGCTGCAGAGTGAGTTCAAGGCCAGCCCAGACTACAGAGCAAGACCCTGTCTCAAAACAACAATGAAAAAGAAGCTAGTTTTGTGCACTCATATTTCCATGGACCCTTCAGACCCCACAGTGTTAAAGAAAGACATCGGTCAGTTGTGTGTGTGTGTGTGTATGTGTGTGTGTGTGTGTGTGTGTGTTGCTGAGGATTGAACTCAGGGCCTTCACACTGAGCTACATCCCCAACTCTGTTTATTTATTTAGACAAGATCACACTGAGTTGCCCCGGCTGGTTTTAAACTTGGCATCCTCCTGCCTCAGCCTCCCAGAGTGCTGGGATCACAGGTGTGCGCTCCCACGCCTGGCACAGTTCCACTGCTCCTCACTGGAGCTGACCCTGAGTAGCCACCCATTCTCCCCTGATGCTGCGCACTGCTACCCAAGGATGCAGTGCTGACTAGACCAGGAAACTGGCCTTGCTGCTGGTCTTCACTGGTGGTTATGCATTTTGCTGGAAAAGTCAGCTCTCTTTCATGAAGGCGATGTTCTGAACGGTCTGTGTCTTTAGATCCTGGAGCCACAGTCCATGAGTAATCCTAATGTGTCACAGAAGGCTTAGTCAGAACACCCAGGCCCCTCCTCTACAGCGAGGCTTCAGGTTAATTGACTCTTCTGCTTCCATGGCCGTAGCGTGGGTTTCTGAGTGGGTCTGCAGTGTGTAACCTGGCAGGACGCACCATCTCCCGGTGGGCAGTGCTTTTCCCTGGTTCAGATCTGGAGGAGCAGAGAGCTCCCTGGGCTGCCTGCCTCGCATCGGGGCCTTGGCCTAGGGCTTGTCTGGACCGGGGGCTGCAGCCCCTGCCTGGGAACACACAGCTCACCCTCTACTGGCGCAGCGTTCCTGCAGACATGGCACCTGGGCTCTGTGCCACTCTTGGCCTGAGTGACCGCAGCCTGGCCAATGGTGATAACGGCAAGGCCAAGAGCAGCTCACGTGTGATGCTGATCCTGCTCTAGAAGTGGCCTGAGCACTGAGCCCTGACTCCTCCCGCTGCCTGGGAGGCCGACAGAGCCCTCGTTCACACTTCACAACCCAGACGAGTGTGGCACTGAGCGGCTGCCTCACTTGAACTCACCCAGGGGTGTTGTGGCTCCGTGCCTGGGCCCTGATGGCTCAGCGGCACAGGTATAAATGCTGGGAGCTGCTTGCCAGCGAGGATGATGATCCTGAGACTGGACAAGCTGATGCCTTCACAGGTAATCACTTTCAACCTTACCACCACTCTCTGTTGTGCCCACTTCACACATAAGTGCACTAGGGGCCATAGCAGTTGTATTTCAGTCACTTTCCCCTTGCTGGGACTCAATACCTGACACCCACAACTTAAAGGAGAGGTTTGATTTTGCTCATGGTTTCGGTGGTTCAGGTCATGGTTGACTGGCTGTAAGGTAGAAACCACATGTGGAAGGGCGTGGTGGAGGAAAGATGCGCGCATCACGGCAGCCAGGGACAGAGAGAGAAGAGGAGAGGCAAGAACACATCCTTCCGAGTAATGCCCCCCGATCTGCCCTTCTGGCCATGTGGCCCCTCGGAATATGAGACTTTGAGGGGAGAGTTTAGCTCTAAACCAGCAGATGGTTCGTTGCCTGTCAGGCTGACCCGACAGTGCCAGTGAGGCACGAGGGCACAGGTTGGAACAAACGCTGGGCCCGGAAGGCAGGGGCCGTGGTCTGAGATGCAGAACCCAGGTCGCCATGCTGATGGTGTCAGGCAGGGGTACCAGTAGGGGTGGAAGGTGGGTGACAGCTGCAGCTTGCAGGTCAAGGTGGGTTTCACCTGGGTCAGGTGCAGAGCAGAGTGGGGAAGGGCTTGGCGCCTCTGACAGCTGGGGCCCAGGCAGTGCGGGCATCACAGGGTGTGTGGGATCACAGAGCTGGGCTGTGCTTGAGGACCTCCATTCTGCAAGGCCAGTTGGACCAGCCAGAGTTGGGGTCCAGAGGAAGGGAGCCCCATGTGGACAGAGTGACCTCAGACAGCTGACCATATTGTAAATAGCATCTCACTGGGTGAAGAGCGCATTATTTGAAGCATGTGGTGGTCGATTCCTTAAATACGCAAATTTGGATTACACTGAAAGGGGGTGAGACCTGCCAAGACATTTGGTGGTTTTGGTGTCATCAATGAATACATCAGAAAAAATGGACAACAAAAAACTCCAGTCCTCTAATAGAAACTTTTCCAGCTCTAGAATCATTGTGAAAATCAAAAGACCAGGAGACCAAAGCTTCCTTTCTTAGGAATTTAAGTTTGGTTGGTTTGTTAATTGTTTAATCTAGAATAATTTTCACCAGCTCTCCTAAACTATCCGGGCTGATTTCTTGCTACATGGAGAAGTAGAGGACATTCTCAGAGCAGGGCTGGCAACACACACAGAGTGTTGCATCACCATGATGTGTGTGGTTGTGTGTGTGTCGTGTGTGTGTTGCCGGCCCTGTTTCACCAGGTGTTGTCACCTACAACCTACA